CCGGTCCAGACCCAGGCGTGGAGGGTAGGATGGGGCAAAACCATCCCCCGAAGAGGAAGCGACTTAGACCAACTCATCGTAGATGGCTGGTGGGATTTCCGAGGATAGTGGCGAGGACAAGGCATGTGCCACGCCGAAACAGGCAGTGCCACTTTCACGCGACATATGTGCTGTGCTGTGGCAGTGCCTGCCTGTCGCCCACTCGCGCGCGCGCGCCCCACTGCCGTTTTCTGACGATCTGGCCAGCTTAACATATGATACCGGAGAGAAGCCCCAATCAGTTTTTTTGGTTATGGGCTTATGGGGCTCTAGGGCTCTAGGGCTACGGGCTATAGGGCTATAGGGCTTTAGGGATATAGGGCTATCGGGCTATTGGGCTATTGGGCTATAGGGCTATAGGGCTATAGGGCTATAGGGCTATAGGGCTATGAGGCTATAGGGCCATAGGGCTATTGGGCTATAGGGCTATAGGGCTATAGGGCTATAGGGCTACAGGGTAAGAGGGCTATAGGGCTGTAGGGCATCAGGAATGTAGGGCTATGGGGCTGAGGGGCTATAGAGCTATAGGGCTGTAGGTCTATAGGGCCATAGGGTTATTAGGCCATAGGGCTATAGGGCTATAGGGTTACAGGGCAAGAGGGCTATAGGGCTGTAGGGCAACAGGGCTGTAGGGCTATGGGGCTGAGGGGCTATGGGACTATAGGGCTATAGGGCTATAGGACTATAGGGCCATAGGGCTCTAGGTCTTTAGGGCTACAGCTCTACATGGCTATTGGGCTTTAGGGCTATACGTCTAATGGACTATAGGTCAATTGGGCTATAGGGCTATAGAGCTACTGGGTTATAGGGCGATAGGGCTATAGAGCTATAGGGAGTAGCCCTATAGCCCTATAGTCCTATAGCCCAATAGCTCTACAGCTCTATAGCCCAACAGCCCTGCTTGGGAGAGCAGGAGGCGGACAGAAATCGTGTTTTTTTTACAGGCCGTCCGACATATGATAGAGCGAGAAGGGTCTCAAAGCTGTCCCGCGCCTCCTGGTGCATCCTCCCCCCCTCGTCTCTTTCCTCCCGCTCTCGCCTCCTGGAGGCGGTGCGCCGGCTAGCCCTGCTGGGGCGGGCCAGCTCTCCGCCTCCTCTGCCTGTCTCGTCCTCGCTCCCCCACGAATGCGGCGGCCGCATGGCTTGACCAATAGTGGCTTTACTCAGTGCTCGCACTCCAGTTTGGGACAGCTTGTCAGGCAGCGAGTTTCGTGCCTAGTCGTGATGTAGTTTCAGCAGGTTGCCTGTTTATCCCGTCTTGTTCCCTCTCCCTCCTTTTTCGCTGTGCCGCCGCTGCCGCTACATTCTATCTTCCTTATTTGTGACATGTCCCGCGTTTAGCAAACGCGCTGTCCTTTGGCAGCTTTAATGGAGCGCAGCCCGTTTTCAAACTCGGTTCGAGCTGTGCATTCCAATATCTCAGCAGGTACTGGTCTCTGTGTTCCGCTCTCCTCTTCCTTCTTCGCCTCTCTGTGTCCCGCTCTCCTCTTCCTTCTTCGCCTCGTTCTCTTCGTTCCCCTCTGCTCTTTCTTTCTTTGGACTCACCGGCCTGTCCTCGAGTTGGGGCCCTGCTTTGTTGCGTCGACGCTGTAGGGCCATCCGCAGCATCCGCATTGCTCTCTTGCCGGAGCTGTTCCAGCACGTCCGACGATGAAGCAGCAAACTTTCTAGGGCCTGAATGATTGTGGGGCCACCAGGTCCCCGCGCCTGTGCGTAGCGCCTCGCTTGCCTGCAGCACCGCTGTGCACGCCGCGCCTCTGGCGAGGTCTAGGCCCCCGCCCAGCGACAGGTTCAGCACTGCACGAGGGGAAGGCCTTCTTGCATATTTTGTTGTTACCCAGTCTTGACTCCTGCAGTTCTCAGGAGGCCCGCGAAGGCCGGGTTCCTATCGGGACGATTTTTGCCGCGGAGGCCGGGTTCCCATCGAGAATGATTTTTGCCTCGCGCTTGAGCGCTTGTGCGCTTGGAGCGAAGATGCCAAGCCATGTTAATCAAGTCTTCACCAATGCCAGATTCCGAGCCTCAACGTCGTGGAAGAAAAACAGGGGCTGGGCTATAGGGCTATCAGGCCATAGGGCTATGTGGCTATAGGGCCACAGGGCTATAGAGCTATTGGGCTATAGGGCTATAGGGCTATAGGGTTATAGGGCTGTAGGGCTGGAGGGCACCCGGGCACCCAGACGGGCCGCGGAAATAGGCGGCGCACCGCGGGCATTCTGGCACCCGGGCACTCGGGGGGTGCCGCCGAAATCGGCGGCGCACCTAACCTGACTGTCTGAATCCGCCAGGACCCCTGCAGAGACAAGCTCTCGCTGGGGAACGTTCGTTGCCCAAGCAGGCACGCCACGCTCACGGGATCTCTGCACGGAACGCGGGCGAGGAGGGCAGCGGCTGTGAGCGAAAAGTGTGTGCCGCGCCAGAGCGCGAACACCACTTCGAGGCGAAATTTGCGCGGTCCTGGGGCGAGAGCGACATTTCGCTCGCTCGCGCGCGACCACGCCGCGGACGAGTTGGCGAGCGAACGTGCGCGCCGCTCCCAAGCGAGTGTTCAAGTCTAGGGAGAAGTGAGCGCGGCTCCGAGGCGAGAACGACATTTCGCGCTCTCGCGCGCGATGCGAGCCGCGCCCCGCTCCCGCCACGCATTTTGCAACGCCGACGACGAGACGTCCGTGTTGAGCAACAACATGTCGACCTTGTATTGGTGTTGATGGCCAACACGGAAGTTGTCGGGTGTGGTGGCTATCGATTGGCTAGGTGACAGACTGGGCGCATACAGTAAGAGGGAAATGGCGAGGACGAGGGAGAGGATTGGGAAAACAAGAAGGACGAGGTGGAGAAGGTGAAGGGTGAGGGGTGAGGGTAGGTCGGGGGGTTTTGATGTTGCGGATGGTGGTGGCGATAGTGACGGTTAGGGTGGCGATGGAGATGGTGATGATGATGGTGATGATGATGGTGATGATGATGCCGATGATTGTGGTGGTGGTGGTGGTGATGATGATGATCATGACGGTGACGATGACGATGCCAATGCCGATGCCGATGCCGATGCCCATGCTGCTGATGATGCTGCTGTTGTTGATGCTGATGCTGATCATGATTCATGTTGGTGATGAGGAGGGCGTTGATTATGCTGCTGCTACTGCTGATGCTGATGCTGATAATGATGCTGATGCTGATGCTGATGCTGATGCTGATGATGATGATGATGATGATGATGATGATGATGATGATACTGATGATGATGATGACGATTATGATCGTGGTGGTGGTGGTGGTTGATGGTTGTGGTGGTGGTAGTGGTTGTCGTGGTGATGCGGCTGATGGCGATGGGGTTCGTGTTGGCGCCGGTGATGATGGTTGTGCTGTGGTTGATCAGGTTGATGGTGCGGATGCTGGTGGTGATGATGATGCGGATGAGGAATTGAAGGAGGGGGGAATATGATTGGAATGACGATGACCGCGACGATGATGATGGTGACGATATGGATGATGAGGTGGATGATACCGATTGTGATCATGATGATGATGATGATGATGAGGATGATGATGATGATGCTGCTGTTGCTGCTCCTGATGATGACAAAGCTGATGATTATGAAGATGATTATGATGTCGATGATGATGACGATTCTGATGATGATGATGCCGATGCGGATGACGACGATGATGATGCTGATGCTGATGATGATGCTTATGCTACTGCTGATGACGCGCATGCTGATGATACTTTTGATGATGTTGCGGATGATGATTATTATGATGATGACGACGGCGACGACGGTGATGATGATGCTGATGCTAATGCTGATGGTGATGCTGATGATGCTGATGAAGCTGCTGCTGCTGATGATGATCGACGATGAGTGTGGCGATGATGATGACTTCGAGGATTACGATGGTTATGATGAGGCTGCTGATGATGCTGATACTTACGATGATGAGGATGATAATGATGATGCTGACGATGACGATGATATGATGATGAGCATGATGCTGCTGCTGATGATGATGATGATGCTGATGATGATGCTGATCACGCCGATGATGCAACTTATGCTGATGATGATTACGATGCTCACGACGACGATGACGCTGACGATGATGATGGTGATGATGGTGATGATGACGATTATGGTGATGATGATGATGCTGATGATGATGGTGATGCTGATGCTGCTGATGACGATGATGATGATGCTGAGGATAATGATGACGATGATGCTGATGATCATGATGATGATGCTGATGATGGTGATGACGATGATGAAGATGATGATGATGATGATGATGATGGTGATGGTGATGGTTGTGATGATGCGGAGGACGATCGTGCCGATGATGATGATGATGATGATGATGATGATGCTGATGATGATGATGATGATGATGATGATGATGATGATGCTGATGCTGATGATGACGATGATGCTGCTGATGATTATACTGATGATGCTGATGTGGTGGAGGATGAGGAGGAGGAGAAGGATGGTGATGGTTGCGCTGACGATGGTGATGCTGATGAAGACGACGCCGATGATGATGGTGATAAAGGGTGATGGCGATACTGACGACGAGGAGGAGCATTACGATGATGCTGCTGGTGGTGGTGGTTGTTAGTATGATGATGGTGATGATGCGGCTGATGATGCTGCAGATGACGACGCTATGGTCTGGTCTGGTCTGCTCTGATCTGGTCTGGTCTGGTATGGTATGGTGTGATATGTTATTGCATGCCATGTTGCGAAATGATATGATATGCTATGTTATGGTATGCTATGATATGATATGACATGATACGACATGAGAGGACATGCCATGATATGGAGTGATACGCTATGCTATGGCATATCACGATATGGTACGCCATGACATGCCATGACATGTTATGATATGGTCTGACATGGTATGATACGTTATGCCATGGCGTGGTATGGTATGATTTGTGATGCTATGGTATAACA